AATTGACCGGTAACGCAACTTCGAAATGCGATCCGAACGAAAAGCGCTCCATCGAGGAGACCGTGTTGAGGTTCGGGCAAAAATTATTTTAGATACGAAAGGAACATTAAAATTGCGTTACAAATTCATTATTTCTATTTTAAAAATGATCTATGAAAAGTAACTTCTATTAATATCTATTAGAAATTTTACTCGTGAAAAGCGATCGCTAATTCTACCCTTATAATTCGTCTTATTCGCACCCTTTTATTTTTCCTTCGCAACAACCCTCTTAATCCCTCATTGTAGCTCTTTACACGAGCGAAGCGATTTTCGCGCGACCTCCACGTTCTCCGCTCAGACGATACCGGTCCATTAGATACTCGCCACTTCCTCGTTTCAGCTGATGGCGGTCTACCTTAAGACCCTTTAGCACGCAACCAAGGATGCCGATCGAAGCGGATCAGCCATGAAACAATGTGGCCAGAGAAAGAAAAAGAAATTACCGATCGATCGGTCGAAGGTAACAGAGAAATCGAATCGAAGATAAATTGCAAAGGGATGATGTTACTGTACTCGTTGAAATACGGAACATGATCGACAAAAAAATTTTCCCAAAAATTGACATTTCCAAATGAACAGTGTTGAAAATAACAAAGGAAATATTTTTCCAAACAGTCTTCTTAATTTCATTTCGAATAAAATTCATCCAACTCTGGTTTGCATCCGAGGAAAATGCATAAAAGCGAACGCACGACAGCCTTAAAGCCGAGACAGCCTAGTAAAGCTGGCCAGAATGGAATTTCTTTTCCGTCGAAATCGTACGAAGCGTCGAGGGAACAGAAATGGCCACCGTTTATTCGATACGGGATCTTACGCGTTGTCGACCAACGATATCGCGCCGTTTCGTTCTACAAGTACTTCCTCGTGCCTTCTTCACACTCATCATTCGACCAGTTCTCTCTATGAAAACGCGACGTTTCACTTCGTCCCGGCAATTTAAATATAAACGCCGATACTGACAAGCATACGATATTTATATTACGATCTCCCGGAGAAAGTACGCCTCCCGCCTGATACGTTTCCATGAAACTTAAATAAATTTACTACAAGTGAGCTATATCGTTTTGCAATTTCCTATACAGCGAGGGCAGATGAGAAATAGAAAATAATCGAAAGTGTGTATCGATAACAATGAAAGGATCGAATCGATCGGCGTAGTCGGAAAGTTGAATTACCCAACACCTGTCGAAACAATCCCCATTCAGCATTCATTAGGAAGATAAGCAACATTCCGACACGGTCTCAGGAGCATATTACACCCCGTTATGCGAAGCAGCGGCAGGTTTAAGGCCGATCCCTGGCGAAGCACGCGACGATCCAGGAAACGCCGGCAGGCGGGATAATGCGGACGATACAAGGGGCCCTTAACAAGCTTGGACGAGGTGCATGCACGAACGCAATGCTGCACCGGCCAACTAGGCTGACTCCTTAGGACCGCCCGCATTGACGACGCCGGAGGAACGGCGAGCATCGGCCACGGACCGAGACAGAAGGAAGAAAGGGAAAGAGAAAGGGAGAGGGCTCTAGGGAACGTACACCTCGTGCCGGGATAATAAGAAATACGGTGCAGCCACTAATGCACCGCTCTATGATGCAGACTTTTTACCCTCCTACAAAGTCGCTTCTTAAAGGGATACCGAGCCACCTCTTTACCTTCTTCTGACAATAGCGCACTCTGGTTCCGGGCGTAAATACTCGTCCTAAGAGGCTTAAAGTGCCTGCGCATCCTGCACACGTTTTATTATTTATTTATTTATTTAATTATTAGAATTATGTGGAATGAACCCTTTTTACAAGGTGTATCAATGAATAGCGTGGATGTTAACCTCGCGTGCGTAGTGATTAGAAGGTTGTAACATAAGACACGCTAATTTCTTTTTCTTGAAAAATTGAAGAATAGTTTGAGAAATGAAGGATTAGGAATCGGGGTTAATTAGAAGCAAACAAACGTAACCTTGAACGATATAATTAAAAGCACGCGAGAATGATGGTAAGAATTACGAGATGTAAGAAAAGTGAGAGTGGTCTGAAGCTTTCTATCCTCGTGAACCTCGCCAGGCTAACATGGTAAACTTTGAAATCGCATTCCACCGGGTCCGACTCACAATTAAATCCGTGGCATTTAAGATTCTACCTTGATAACGTTCAACATCGTCCGTCTCGTAACTTTGGCCGGTCTTAGCGGAGATTCTCGGTTGTCTCGGGATTCTCAGCATCGTTCATTCAGAAAGAGGAAGAACTCGGACACGGAGGACGGACTAGTCGATGCGTGACCGTGCATAACGATTCCCCCCCCGAGATCTCTCGTAACAGAGTTATTCACGACGGCTTCGGGTTTACCGAGAAAAGGGAATCTTTATCATTTTTTGAATTCTTCGTTCCTATCGTCCTACCTTGAACTGATACCTTAACTGATTCTAGCGCAATTTGCGTTGACCGACTACAGATAGGTCGGCTCGACAGATTAACACGTTCGAGCCCGAAGCAACAGGTGTAGATCAGCCGAGATAAGATCGGCGCTGATTGATGTCCCGTTGCTCATTAACGCGCGTTATTCCTGATCGCCGGGGAGTTAATTGGTGTCGATTTTGTCCGGCAATCGAATCTCGTGGATATAGGTAAATTTATTGAAGCAGCCTTGAACGTGTTAACCGGTAAGTATTTTAAACAATTCGAGAAAAATCCGTCAAGAATAGAAAAGAGGGAAAATTGAAGGGATCGAAGAATCACAGACCCGCGTAATAAAGAACCGCAGAATATTATGTTCCGAGAAGACGCGGGGTGATCGGAGTCAGTGCGAAGAGAAGACGATATTCAATTTGCCCGGGTTAGTCTCGGCTCGTAAGATTTAAAGGAGTAATTCAACCAGCTCAAAGGCGAGAAATTCGGAATAAGATGCCGACCGGTCGGTTAGCTAGCGTGTCGTTAAGTCGGATCTCGACTCGATGACTGATTAACGAATTTAATTACGCGAGCACGCTCGATTATCCCGATTTCAAAGTAATTTCCTCTCGAAGTTAAGTTCTTTTCTTTCTTTCTCTCTCGTTTTGTTGTGCCGTTTTCTTTTTTTATTTTTTTTTTTTGCCAACCGTTCACGCGGCGAGATCATGACACAGAGGAAGGAGCAAAAAGTGAATGGGTGATGAGGTCGTTGACCACCCATTTGCGATGTTGACATTCGACCTTGACAATCTCCCTCGGCTCGATAGCGAAGAAAATCGACGGCCTCGCGTCAATGGACACCGATGGAGAGGTCTCGCCGGCTACCTCGACTAACATTATCGGAGAAGAATGTCCTACGATGCCATTTTACCCGAGGGAACAGTGATCGACACTCCTACCAGAAAATTAGCAAAGGGCCATAGAAAATTGGATTGTACATTTGAAAAATAAAAATTCTACCGGGAAATAACGTTGAATTGTCTAATACAGATTACCATCCTTCTGCCTGTGAATTGGTCAAAGTTTTCACTTTCTCACGCAATGCTCGTTAAATTAACGAGCAGCGTGTTTGTAGCTTCTGCTGAAATGAGAGAAATGAAATTATAAAATCGCGTTAATTGAATGAAAGCTGTTCGCAGATCGGGCGTAGCGTGCAAGGGAACAGAAAAATCCGAATCGTCAGGATCTTACGTGTTCCCCTGTTAGTCCGACATGCTCGACACGTGCGTTAAGGGATGATACGCTAAGCAAACCACCGTAATTACGATGGAACACATATACACAGCCTGTTCAAATACCGTGTGGATCCTTGTCAACGATCCACGCGACACGTTTAGGAAGGAAAACAGAGGGGAGATAATTAATTGTAATTAATAATTAAGCTGATGGTAAAAGAGGAAGTTGAGTCCAGCGCGCACACACCAATGCCATATTACGAGCCCACATATCATAATTATAAAAAATAGCACGAGACAAAATGACTGATCGAAAATCCAACAAATTTAAAAAGTGATACAATTTTGAAATTTTCTTTTGTTAGGTAATTACTGGATGAAAAATTCAGATAAACACAAGCCTGTGAATTTCGCGATTTTCACCCCATTTTCGGGCAAGTGGGGTGTACGGAACTATTTATCATATTATGCAAAATTGTTTTGTTTATTTTAATCAAGAAAGAATAAATTTTTATTCCGCAAAAGAATTTGAACTTTTCATACGGTAAGTATCCACGAAAAAATTATTGTTACGCGATCAGCAGATTTATTAACAGACCACAATTAATGGCATTACTGAGACATTATTAATGATTACACACAAAGGGAGAAGATCGATCGGATCGATCGCACAGCGCAACGATTATTCGTGCCGTTAGTCAGCGGCAGGGTCTTGATTAAATGTGTTATACATTGATATCGAGAGCTCGAGCTTGGAACAGTTAGGATATAATAAATAAAGCGGAACACGTTCCGTGCTGACATAACGTAGCTTGACTTTTCGCTTTCGCTACCTACAGATGTTTCGCTCTTCTGTTTAAAATTAGCCACGTATCAACGTAAAATATTTGACAAAGAATAGAGAGAGCCAGTTCTCGTGTTATGGTTGGAGTGAAAATGGCGACCTCGGGACGAGAGAAAATGCAAGATTATGAGAACGATTGCCAGGAGGACGTGTTGTTGCGTTTCAGAAAAAAAATACGGTCCGGTCTTAGAGCGATCTCTAGATTATGAAAATTATTTGTGTCGGGCCGCTAGTTTCGCGCTGAGAATCTCTCGCATAGTTGGTTCTCAGAAGAAGAGATCCAGATAATTTCTTTGTTAAACAAAAATGGGATATCGAAGCGTTAAAATCGTGTCAATTTAGGATCGGTTAAATGAAAGAAAAGGGAAGTGTGATAAAAAAATAATGAAAGTCAAGCAACGTTAAGCAGCTCGTAGCATGTCGCTCTACGAATTGGCGGCTATTTTTGATTCTTTTTTTTTTTTTCTTTTTGATATGGTGTGATTGCCTGGACTCACCGATCCTCTTGACGTGGACGTCTCGATTGAAGGAGACGCTTCTCTCGGCGGGCTTCCACCCGGAAACGGAAGCCCCGGTCGAATCGGGGTGTAGTAAATGGTCGGTAGGAGGGTTGCAGGCTTCTCCCTCTCTTAAATAATCCGAGTGCTGAACTTCGAGCATCTTTCGCTTCCGATCATAACACACCTTGTAGACGGAACCGTGCACCGATTCTTTTCTCTTTCTCTCTTTTTCTCTATCTTTTACCTTGCTAAACCCGTCAGCTAATTGCACCCCCGCCCACTAATCTCCCCTCTCCTTCCCTGTATTCGATCACACCGCTAGACCCGATCACCGACCTGTAAGCCAAGCAAAGCTGCGCTCTTAATATCATTTTCATCACCTCTCGTTGATCGAGATTTATGATCTGTCCGCGTTACATTCTTTCTTACGTGACTATCGTAAAATTCTTTACCGTTTTTTTCAATTCTATATTTGCGAAAAAGCTCGTTCCAAGCGGCCGTACGTACGATATGTACACGCGAGAGAACAGTACCTACGGCTCTACGATTGCGGTCGTCCTTATTGCGGTTAGAGAAATCGATTCTATCGGCGATTTAGTGTCGAACTAGGATAGTGCCAGTTGCGGTCGTAAGTAAAAGTACCGGTCGCATTGTTAGGGCTTCCTTTCACATTTTGCTGGACGGGGAGACAGCAATTCCGCGGAAAGAATGTTTCAAGAACTATTCTGGTTCCAGCAGGCCGGTCACCGATGACCGATACCGGACTTCTTGCTCGTTTATCATCGTTTCGAGGAAGCAATTTCCTCGCCGTTGCTTGCTGCCGGAGGAAATTACGAATATCACGGATTCTTCTTTGCTTCGTCGAAATTTCACGCCGAGAATTCGGGGAATTTTACTTTTCCAAAATTGAACACAAATTTTACTCATCATCCAAATAATGTAATCGGTAAAAAACTCTTCGCCCTTAGACGCGACCGTATTCAAAAGAGCTTCTCGATTATAGACAGCACTATCCTGTTCGAATCTGATGTCTAATCGCCAGTCAATTCGCTTTTCTTTTAACCGCAACAGGAAAGACTCGTTGATGAGGTTGTTTTCGAGTGCACCGACGATAATGGTGATAAATACAACGGGGTGATAATGGTCTCCATTGCCATCATGCAACCTGATGAGATACTCGAGATACGTGCAAATGGACTATTGACAGTTGCGAGGATGACGATGACTGTGCGTTATAGTAACAATGAATTCGCGATCGTGCGATAAGCTACTATGTACGTTTTTGTTTTACCCCATCTTTAAGCATCGTGCAAAGCTTGGAATGTTCAATCTTCTTTTTTGTTAACAAATACCTTGCAAAAATTCGTCAAATAAAGAGAAGATGACCATTTTTTTTTTTTTTTTTTTTCTAAATTCATCATACGAAAGGCTAAATCTGAGAAATCATCGAACCGAAGTAAACGTTATTCTTGGAAGATCCATGAATCCGTAATTGCGAGTCAACCGGTCGCGAGAACTCGCGGCGCGAACTCGTTAGAGCCGAGCCAAGTATCGATAAAAACAGCTCTAAAAATATCGCTGATGTCGCACCGCTGTCCGGCATTCCGTTTAATGAGATGCGCAATTGACTTCCGACTATCAAGCAGAGATACAACCTTGCGACTCTGCCTGTTCGAGAGTATCGGAGCCTCGGTTTTCAACGTCGCGTCATTTCGAATTCAGCTCGGGTTTTCGACTATCCGCGATGAATCTTGCTCTCGCCCTTGGAACGGCCAGAGGTGACCTCGTCCTCTCTCTGTTTCCCATCTCTCAAGGCCATCTAATCGTGACACGTCCGCGATTCGAGCATGCAGCAAGGGTTAGGCCCGTCGCTCAACGACTTTATTAGATCCTCACGGAAGGGACAGAGGCTCGTATGCCAGTCTCAAATGAGACAATTCGCATGACCGCGATCACCGGATTAAGATACTCCCAGGTGAAGCGATGCTCGCCATATTTGGCGAACGAGATACCCGCGAGGGCGGTGCTGTTCTTGCCTTCTGATCGGCTAGCTCATCCACGCACCGGATCACAGTGTTCCTCTCATCCTCGTATAATCAGCAATCGCTTCGAATATATGTGTATACACACGGACAATAACTTTGTTCACCTGAACTATTTCCGTTATCTATGTCGATATCTGTACTAGCGGTTCTCAACGTTGGATACACCATGAAATCTCTGAAGCTAAGCTACCATCAGGGTACCCCAAGTTTTAGTTAAAATAATTTTAATTTCTTAAGAGATCGAGAATATTACTAGTACAACGAATGGATGGCAACTTCTTTCGATAATACTCCGAAGAACAAAGCGACAATAATTAGCGACCGAAGCTGTTGTTCAAGTATTCTATAAAGACGTTCGTTCCTTCAAAAGTACCGTCGATGAATATTCATCGTGTTGCAACGAAGTGATAATAATTTCGAAATACCATTCGGTACGGAGGAAAATAAGCAGAAATGGTTGCAATAAAATTGCGTTAATGGAATGTAGTACGATATGATCCTGTAACGTTGTTCGCGCAGCACCTCGCCGCGATAAAGAGTCACTTGTCCCCGGTAAATATTTACCACCTTTCTCGGTCTGTTTTATTGTTCTCCTACTGCGGTGGCCCGTCCATTCAATGATTCAATGATAAAATCAAAGGTTCGCGCCTGGAGCAACAGGGTACAGCATCGCGTCGGCCGGTTCTTCAATATCGTCGAGGAAAAATGACGAGCAGTCGGTGCAAGAGGATGGTCAACGTACGGTCGATGACTCGTTTTCGCACGTTCGAACAGTTGGTGCCAAGAGTGTATCTCTTCGCCGGAGTAAATTGATGGTACTTGTACCTCGATCCTTTCTTTTTCTTTTTTTCTTTTCTTCCTTTAGCTTGTTATTTCTTTCGGGGCGAATCGAGCTGCGTTTTACAGTCAATATCGAAGCTGCCCAATAAATTTACGTAAACGCCGTAACTGTTGTTGAAAAACGATCGTTAACGATCAGCACCGACGAAAACACGTCGTTAGGAAGAAGGCGCATCATGGGATTCGGTGTTCCGATCGAGGCCGTCCGGATAGTTTGAAATGACTCTCCGTGATTGCAACGCGGATGTTTATGAAGATGATCTCGTTTGAAGTCAATTTGAAAAAAAAATCGAACGGGATCGTACAATCATAGACGCGTGGACGTTTAACGAGTGAAAATGCTGTGAAATGAAGGTAATTTATGAGAACCATTTCGAGGTTTAATGGATTATTCACCGCATCACTCGTATAGAGTGTTGTGTAAGTGAAATAAGATGATTCCTTAGTGAAAATTGAGATGAAAATGTTGAACGAGATCTTTCCGTATGATAAACAGACTATCCGGATAAGGGTTGAACAGCTGTTGTACCGAAGCTTCGAATCGATCGGTCAAAGTCGACCGCTTTCGAAGATTTCTTGGGCGACCCAGCGTGTTCCACTGACACACTTCGGCCACGTCAAGGTCGTACACTTGGTCCGCCGAATATATTCGCGAGGCGACCATATTTTTTTTTTCTTTTCTTTTCTTTTCTTGCCATCCATTCGAACAAATCGTCGTTTCAGGGGCTGACGCGTCGCGACGGATCTCTGCTGGCAATGAAAGAGGCGATTCGGTCACGGCTGAGCCGCAGGGATTCGCACGTCAGGCGGAGAAGGCGCGATCTTCATTCCGCGAGCCTTGCTGCGAGCGGACAGGCGAAACAAAAGATCGAGCAGAAGAAAGAGAGGAAAGAGAAGAAAAGGATTGAGTTGTTCATAAGGCTTGCCTTGCCGACGTCTATTTCTGGACTTAACAAGGGACGCGTCGAGAAGGACGCTAAAACAGGACGACGGCACCTCGTAATTGTGTCAAACTCCACGTGGCCTTTTATTGCCGGCCAAACCGAGACGGGAATTTTGTATGCAGATACCGCGACACCGAAAGTTAACCATTTGTCAAAAATATCGGACCATGTAATTCGATATGTTGCATCATAACCGAAGCGAATCCTAGAATATTTATCTTTCGTACCTTCTCTTTAATGTCGTCAATTTTATGGACATTAAATTAAAAGTCGTCAATGTGAAAATTAACAGTCGCGTTGTTATATTGGATTGGTACCGACATAGGAAACGTAAGTACTTAATGTCAGTCGCTGCTGATGAACATTAAAATTGAAAATTGAATTTTTAATTAAATTTTTATCTTAGTCTTTTTACTGTATTTTATTGAACACTTAAATCCTCAAGGTAAGGTAATGATAAAAGTGAGCTAACGAATGGTAGTAACAGATCTATAACTGTTTTAGTAATCAACACATTCTGTTAATTGATATTTAGACAGAGTGTACACGATTGAGATTTGCTGGTTTGCAAAATGACGCATCGAACTTAAAGAAGGTGCAAATGGGATATTATTTCTCGGTTGAGCTTCGCAAGTCGTAAAAACAAGTTGAATCGTTGCAGAGTTGACGTAAGATTTAAATATGGTATTTCTCCCCAAAATAAGGAAAAAGTTCAAATCAGACGAAAATACGATTATTCTCTACTCTAAAACGATTTCGTGGAATGCATAAAATATTTTTGACAATTTGCAATCCTGATTCAATATTCTTTTTTTTCGAATTTATTTACCGAGAATCCTTTATACCGACATAAAAACTTGTTATATTAATTCAAAAATCCTTCGGAATAAATTCTTGTATAATTCTGTCTGAAATACTGTCTGAATAAAAGAAACCGCATCCTATATTTTTCCTAAATGGTCATCGCACTGCAATAATAATTAAATATGCGTTGCATATTTGATAAATTGAATGTTAAACGAATAAAATAAACTAATGTAAATTAATGATCCTTCGGTTAACAATTTGATTGTCATGAGGGTGTCATCGATGACCAATGCATCAAATAATTAATAAAAAAAGAAAGGAGGCAAACTTTGGTTAAAGTTATTTTAACCAAAATAATTGAAAAATTTAGAAAATTAAAATAATATGAAATACAGGATTGAATTGAAATTGGAGCTCTCTCCATGGTCCGCCATCCAAGCGGCTAATCATATAAAATATACTACTAACTACTGTGTCCGTCAAAGTGTTAATAATCAATGTCTTAATGCGTCGTATTACATATGTCCATTTTCACCGAGGTAGTCAACGCGTTAACGATGATATTGCTATCCCCTCTGTATTTCTAGTTTCCCTATCATCGAACCATCATCATGTCTCGAGAGTAAATCGCACGTGTCCGTTGAAAGTCGTTTCCCTTTCAATTGGAGTCTCTCTTTGACAAACAGAATGCACATATCAAGCTACTAACATGTATCAGACAATCTAAATTGTTCCATGATCGCGATAATTACGATGACCTTGTTACGAAAGTGATTTGTACCTTCGCATTAAAATAAATGACGCGAAAAATCGTTTTAATTATGTTAAATAGAATACGTTTCATCGACTTCAATGATCTTGATATATCTTACAGAAATTAATTTTCTGAGTAATTTTATATTATACAAGTATAACATTGAAAGATATACGTAATAATACGTAATATGTTCTTTTTTAGTTTGAGATTAAGAAAAGTCCAAGTGGAATTTTAATGGACATAAGGAGTGAGATGCTGCAGTTATAATTTTTCATAATCCTTATATTAGTAAAAAAAGAAAAGAAAAATTATTCAAGATATCAACTTTGATAACATATGTCAAGATCATTGAAATCGATCAAATCTACTCCATTTCGTAGGAACATCAGAATCACGACTTACGGGGTAGGTTAATTTTCCGTTCACTCTTTGAGGAAGAAAAATCTGCTATTTACGAGTAGAATATTGCACACTTTGGACTTAGCACAGCGAATATTGATAAGTTGAATATTTAAGACTGTTAAGTGCAAACACACGATCTTGGAGGTTTTATATAACACTAATCTATCGACGGTTACGCTGCACTACACTCCGGCCGGAATAGCACTGGTAGCCTTGATCGATTCTCGTTACTGCGTCTTAACAGTGGACGCGACGTATCGATCACGAGCATCTTCTTCCTTCAAAGAGGAAACCTGTTAAAAGCGAATCTCCTCGAAGCGTGTCACAAGATGTTCCCACGGTTTCGCGTTGTCAACGAGTCAATTCACGATCGCAAAGGGACGACGAAACGTCAGTCAACGAGATTGACGCGTATTAGCAAACCGAAACGCGTGTAAGCCTCATAAAGTATCGGTCAAACTTCAGAATTCAATTTACCTTCACTGGCACAGTAGCATTCCGATCGGTAATGCCTCTGGTATACTCTCTGTTTAAGGATATCCCCCGTTTGTATCGGAGCGGCAAGAAGACAGAGTAGAAACTCGGCTCGTGGTTAAACCGAACAAAACACTCTCACGTACAGCAACTGTCACTGCCACCGGGGCAACCGGGTGTCTCGTCCCGTGGGACCGGCGAGACGAACACCTTGCGCCCGATCCTGATCCGATACGACGTCACCAGAACGATTATCATCGATCATCGATCGATCGATACTCGTTCCCGGGTTCTCGATTTTCTTCGCACCAAAAATCCCCAACAACTGTCTCGACCAATCTCTCCTCGAATTCACTCTCGTCTAACGATTATTCACACACACCTTTTCCTTGGCTAACGAAGAAAGATCGTTCAATTACACGATGATATACCCCTCGACTTTTTGCCGATCCTAACTGTCACTTCGACCATTCATTCGCACCGCTTTACGGTTGTTAACTTATCAATTCCGCGGATCTGAACGCACTTTCTGCTGGCTACCACTCCGGCACGCACCGTTCTCCGCCGAGCGCCGAAGAACTAATAAAAGCTAGGGCCCAGCTTGAAACTGCGTAGGCCGCTTACTACTCCTTCCACCACGGACCCGTCCTATCCCACCGGGCCCAAGCCCCGACAGAGAGACAGGCAGAGGAGAAGGCCCCGACGAACGAACGGACGGATGGACGGACGGACGGACGGACGCGGCACGGACGGATGGAGAGGCAGCGAGCGGACATACGCGGACGTTAACAGGTATACACGCGTCTCGAGGAGCACGCTGGTATGGTAGAGCCGGCGTTGATGCTGCTATTACTGCTCGCTGCTCCTGCTGGTACCATGTTGCTGCTCCTGCCTGCCGCTGGTGAACGTCACTCGGTCAAGGTCCCCCACCAAAAAGCTGCACAACTTGAAGGCATCCTCGACGCCCCGGCATACGTTAGACGGAGAGAGTTGATTCGGTCCACGGACAACGCTATACTTGGCGCGAGTATCCCGGTGCGAGGGTGGTAACGATCCCTTCTTCCACGTCGATTCGCTTGTACGACCTGTACACGGAGGTGGATGCGAAGGATGACTCGAACTGGGATGATGCGTTCTTGCTTCAGAATGAATCGTGAAAGGATTGAGACATCGTACGGTAGGTGATTCTATGGATCTGGGACCAACGATTTGTGGGTTTTAATGATCGTAGGATTGATTTCAATACCTTCATTAAATTCGTATTATCATACGATATTTTTGAAATTTTCAGATCGTTATTTCATTTTCTTAATCCTGTCTATTGGGATTCTTTCTTTAACATGGCGTAACATTGGAAGTACTATTTAAAGTATAACGACACGATAAGTGAAGATCAAGTAAAGAGATCCTTAAGAGACGAGTCCTTGAAGAGACAAATCCTCCTTTCTTAATCGACGAGTCGTTAAAAATCACTCGATCCTTTAATAATGTTATCAAGCAAGCATTATAAATCGCAACAGGTGAAAGGGACACGCCCGATCTCAGGGTCCAGTATTCAGGATATGCGTGTCATCTTAATAAATACGGTTGCTAACACGAAAGTAAGCAAGCAGAGGGAGATCGCTAACTGGCCAACAGACACGCAGAAGCTATCTAAGAAGAGAAAATTGTGGATCGCGAAATATCAAGGGTGTTGCGGCTGAACAGACAGAGTACAATTATAGGGTGATTGAGGATCTGGCTCTTGTTTCTATTTTACTTGATTTCTGCGGGTAGTTAACTGGATCCAGCCAGACCAATCACAATGTCGACTCTTAGCAAGCCAAGCCGTATTATGATTGACGTAATCATCGTACGAGTGAATCAACAGCGGATAGGGTATATAAATAATTGAGCTTTAAAGTCGATTTACGTGCCGAGAGTCTAGTTGATGAAGAGTGCACGAGTGCTCTACATTGGACGTGCCACGTTAGCAAAAGAGTATTACCGCTTACCGTGATGATGGGGAACTTGGTCCGATTCAGTTAACTTTATATGAAAAATGAAACAGTAAAAGTTACCCGATAATTCGCGTTCCCATTGAAAACGAACGTCTAAGCTAGAATATCCTATTGAATTAACCTTCAAATCCGCCCTCTCTGATGGCCATTCGTTGACCTCTACTTAACTAGTTAGCCAATTCAATACAAACGAAACTGAGAGAACAATTTGTCCGGTACCAATGTTAAGAAGCACTCTGCTTCCACTCTGATCTTTCCTTTTTTGTATACCAACTGTCAGTGACCACTGTTGAGGTCATCAACAGAGAGGAACCTAGGAATTAAAGTGGGCTCCGAAATACCAACGTCAAACCCACACACAGACTATCTAAATAGTCATTGGTCATTGCTTAGGCAAGAAGCAACATTTCCAATGTAATAGAGCTGTCCCCTGACTATGCGGACTTTTCGAATCGTCGTATAATGTTGCGCCCGTGATTGCACCTGTCCGATCAGCTTCTAAGCAGTAGCTGAGAAACGCGTGTGATTTATGACATCGCGAATTTCACGCACCGTGTGCATGATAGAGTCTAAAAACGTCACGGGTCAAAGTGTTCGCCGGTTGGATCACGATAGAGCGTTCCTATGTTAGGTCTCGTATGATTGGCACGCGTAAATGGGTGACGACTAAACTAGTGGAACCAAGCCAACAACCAGGTAAAATTTTCGAGATGATGATGATGATGATGATGATAACGACGAGATGGACGATAATGATGATGATGATGTCTGCGGTAGCGATGGCGGTGACTGAAATGGTAGGGTACATTGAGGATTCAACCCTACATCCGTCTCTCTATATTTCGATTTCGAACCGGAGCCGACCTTGAACTTAACGCTGCACTCTTTGTGCTAATGAACACTAGCAAGGAGAGAGTTTAGCCTTCAACTCCACCGGCTTTGCCTGAAATTTTCTACCATTACAGATTAACGAACAAGGGAGGAGTTTACGTTCAGAGTTCGTTCCTTTTCTTTTTTTCTTAACCCGTTCGTTTAAAAGTAATAACGCGCAAAGTTTAAGACATATCAGTGAGTTCACGGTCGTTTGCTCACCTTGTCAGACTTGAAAGTCCTCCTCACGGGCGGACAGACGTCTTTAAATGGCCTCGCTACCGACCAATCTCCCATACGAACGAGGAAAGCCGTCCGTTTAAACCGGACATGTAATTTTCACTTTCAATCCACCGCACCGGCTGGTTTAATGGAATACGAGGACGCGTAATCGTATAGGTGGAAGCGTGTCGCTGTGCTAGAAACGACCCGGTTCGAAGTTCGAGACACTTGGGGACCGGTAGGCTGTTACTAGGATGATGTAACCGAGAGACACAGTGGGTGTTCCTTGTACAATTGTTCGATGCCTCGTTGCGTCAGTTCAATGCGTCCGTATGACAGATGTGACAGAACTATAGGATAACCTGCCGTCGAATGGTTCGTTTTATGACTTACGTCTCGTTCGCCTGTGACTAATTACAGCCGCACCAGCGAGAAATTAAATGGTTTCTTTTTATTTTGCAAATACCGTATGCGTCGTTCGAACGTCATTGCAACAACGTCTTTGTTGACCTAGATTCTCTATTATGGGATTTTACATAGTTTCTTAACATTGATTAATTTAAGGGATGGTTTGCACCCCTCGAGATGAAAAATAAACGTTGAATCGGATATCCATCAGGATAAATCAAAACTTTCAGAAGAAAAATAAGGGCGAATCATTTAACTGATCCGATAAAATATCCGCACAATTCAATCAGCTGATAATAGAATAAGCCTGGCTGATTTACACTGCTTGAAAAACAAACAAGCCACGAAATCTAGGAACATGGAAGTAAATCTCTCGATGGCGTGAGCCAATTTCTCGAGAATGTCGTAACACTTTCTCCGATCGAGTCATGTGCGAATGGGTTACTACGAGAAATCTCTCCGTGTTGATAACGTTCTCTACGAGGACGAAGAAATCGACACATTTGACGTAACAACGCGGAGATAGAAATCGACATCGAGATGAATAAATAAAGTTAGAAACTCGAACGAATGGAACTGAGATTTAAATCGAATCGCAAGTATTGAAATTTCAAGATTTAGGCTGGACTTATTGTTCTACGGAGTACCATACTCTATCGACACCTGACACCACGAAGCAAGCAACGAGCATCTTATTAATAGCAATGATTTAACTGCAACGTCCTCATTCTACTCGTAACTAAGGAGCCTTTACCGTGTCTTTCAAAGCTGTTAAGTCGTAGGCAAATACTCACGTGCCTGTAGATTAAATGCTCACAAGCACGCCAAAGAGTCTATTTGAATTATATCCCGCAAATCAATAGGTAAACCTTCAAGTTTCGCACCATAGATTCGTATAATTCATTTTTAAGGACACTTCTGAAATCGAGGCTAGAAAAAAGCATTAGGTATACGAAGATCGCAGATACGATTTATAGCAATCCTAAAATCTATGCAGGCTCATCGATCACGGATAGAAATCTCTCTATCGCGTGCTAATTGGTCCAAGAAATACCTGTGTAGCAATTTAGGCACAGCAGGAGTTTCTAATATCGATCGAAAGATCGATGGCCGGACCTCTCGAAACATCGAATAAAAAAGAAAGCTCTAAACAGGTGATCAGAAACGAATCCTATCTAGAGATTATTTCAAATTATATAAACAAATTTTTAAATACAATGTACAAGGAATTTAATCGTATTTGGACGAAGATTGCACAGTCAATAAATTAATTGTTTGAATAATCTGAGCGAAATTCTAAACAGCCAAGTAACTGGCAGAAGATAAAATTGGAAAGTGGGTAAAATTATCTTTCCATATTCATCACTTTTATCTCCCCAGTTCGTCGTAGGGTCAACCATCTACAGAAACACTTTAATGCGAGATCATGGCGCAACTTGGGACACCATAAATTACCCCTTTTCGCGAACGGAGCTTGAAAGATCCATTAACCCCTCGCCTTAAAAATTTCTTTTTATTATTATGTTATTCTTTTTGGCTCAGGCGAATCTAAGCTAAATTCTTGGCTTCTAATACACGTTAGACGATAGAAAACGTAAAGGGGGAAGAAAGAGACGGAAGTTATTTACGAGTGAAACCCTGTATCATCCATCACGTATTTCGGTCCATGTCCATCGTCTTTAAATCGCGGCTTGTCCTTTGTATAGTACGACATTTGACCCCGACCACCCCTTCGACTCTTACGTCTCAATCTGTGAACGTAGTACACGATGTTCGGTCTGATCGAACGCCTCATCCCCGTGGATGTCGCTTCCAGTATCTTGCTTTCAGATCGTGGCTCGATCGAAATGCGTTTAGTCACGATTCAGCCAGCCGACAGTCGTATTAGCGTGCAGACCATCAGCGTACCTACCGACAGCCTAAAAGGTTCCTTTGCCGGGCCATATACCGGAAAAAAGTCGCGCTTTGTCCTGTAATTAAAATAGAATACGCCGATTTTGATCGATCGCGGTTCACCGACGAACATCGGCGAGGACCTTGCGCTAACAAATGCCAAGAATCATTTATGGGTCATTCCGCGAGCCCGGTATGTATGAATTTTCGTTTTCAAGAACAGGGTAGTCGGTATGAAACGAAAGAACTAATTAACCGCGCTAATATCGTTGC